TTTACGACCGGTACACATGTGGCGCTGGTTGGTTTAACCACTGTAGTAACATTACGTACAATCCTTGCTGTATGCTGTAGTGTTGCTACATAAGTGCATGTTATCACTGTAGGACGTGTAGCTACACCTCTCTGTACATTGTATGCACCTACTGTACATGGTTAATACATAGGTACGTACGTAGTACAGTCACATTTGGGTAGATTTTTGTTTCTCACTGTAGTTTATCTGTAGCTACTCACCTCTAGAAAGGTCTTGAAACAGTTCAGGAAATACTCCCTTTTTCATGTGTACATTGTGCTGTTGTGGTTTCTACACTAAAAGCTGGAAATACGGTGCATTTTTTTTGACTGGTACCGCACATGCTCTATGCTAACATTTTGGCTGCAGGGTGTATTACAACTGCTTTGTTTTTTTAACCCTTAGCAAGCCACGGGCATATGTATATGCCCAGAGCCTCCATAAGTCAATGAGAATTTATATATGGCTATAATACTAGGCGTTAATATGTTATACACATCAATTTCAGCTTATTTAAAGAGATAACCATGGTGTGCAAAGGGTTAATGGTGGTGTCCATCACATTGTGATCACACATTTTCCTACTATATACGTGTGTATGTTACATACTGTATGTGTCTCTCTCTTGATTTATTCCCTCTCCCATATACCCATAAGAATTTATATGGGGCTATAATACTAGTCGTTAATATGTTATACATCAGTTTCTGAAGGAGATATATACCCATGGCGTCCAAAGGGTTTTAATGTAATGGCTCTATAGGCCAGTGGGTGAGGTTCAGAGACGTTGACGTTCGTTCCATAACCATTGCATAATGTAAGCCATCTCAGTTGCATAAACCTCTAAAGTGTGTAGAGGATTTGTCAGTCCATCAGTGTCTCTTGATTTTAAACTCTCTTTGGCTATAACTGCATGCAAGCTTTAGTGAGACTATGTAGGGTACATACGTACGTATTTCCTAGCGTTGTTTGTTTTGATTGTCCCGTTCAGTACGCTTGTAGTTTAGTCCAATCCAGCAATATCAGACAGCGTATTAAAGGAAGGCAAATTTGCTTGAAATGGATTCGTCCATTGCCAACTGTCCAGTTCCTCTCTTCAGCGTACTTTAGAAGAAAAACACCATGTGATGAAAGATGGGGGAGCCTGCGACAGCTGTTTCGGGCTTGTTGGCCTTATCAGCAGAACATACCCAACTTCTCTCTCTGGCATCACCGGTTATCAGGCGTGCACAGGCGCGCAGCACTGTGGTTCTGAGCTAATGAGATTCATCCCCACAAGCACTGCTCAGTAGGCATGAGCCTATTATTCCCACAATTTGTCCGGATATTCTATTCTGATTTCCTACTCCAATGCCTATTATTCTTTAAGTTTACCCATTATTCACAGAAAATTTACATATTATTCTGCTTCAAAAATGAAAAAAAACAACAGTACTACAGAGCAGGCACATAAGAAAACATCACGATCATGTACTGCAACATGACGCGCGTCCACTCGCACTCACACTTCGCCCTTCCGCGAAGTTCCGAGTTGCCGCCGTTGCCCGCTCGTCGCAACTTTCAACATATATTCTGGAATTATTCTTATCCAGAGGGACCTATGATTCCGAAATTATTCCGGAATAATCGACGCGGGCTACTGCTCAGGCTCCCTGTACAGCTATGATACTACTAAAGTGTTAGTGTGTGTTTAGTACACACTTTTGTGATGCACTGTGTGACTTGTCTCTCGGGTTACCCCAGGCGATGAGTTGCTGTACAGTTTGACATAGACACTCACCATGACGACGGAGTGGAGGAGGCTGTTCTACACACTGACAGAGGTCATGACTGTCTCCTTCCACAAGTACGAGAGAACTACTTCCCGGCACTGGGACTCAAGGCACTCTTGATTTACAAGGTTATTGCACAATAGTATAATACATACCACTTTTCTTTAGAACCGTGTTGTACTAGTAAGATTGCTGGCAATGTAGTTCTAGGCGAGAAATGTTATCTACAAGAAACCAAATCACATTGCTTGCATTGGACTCTTTTTAGTCTCTGTTTAGTAAATTAACCCTATGTAGTACTGAACAAAGAAGAAAAGATAGCAGAAATTAAAAGACGAAAATTTGTCATATGATGGCAAAGCCTCATCACCAGTAAGACAATGTAAAGAAAATGTATCCGTCACCTAACCTTGAGTACAGCGCGTAGCCCATCACTGGCAACGGGCATGGGGCGGAGAGAAAGGGAAGTACAGTACTATGCAGGTTGTATCTACAAACGTACACCTGTAACATGCTCCGTCCATCTGGCAACAGGACGTGGAGGGGATAGGACAAGGGATGTGTATGTACAACGTCAACACTGTAACCTGCTCCGTCCCATCTGGCACACAGGAGTGCAGCAGAGACAGGCACAGCAGAGATAGCAGTATGTGCAGGCAACTGCCCACGAGAGACTGGCGTGACGACGAGAGCTACGAGTGATCTTCAACCTGTATGGCCAAGGTCTGCTCTCTCTCCTTCCACACTCTCATCCGCATGGCATCCTATCCTCCCTCCTCTTCTTCTTCGTTGCTGCCAGTACTGCTATTGCTATGCAATGCCGGCAAGTACAAGCTCCAGTATGTATAGTACAGGATAATGGGCATCTATGAAGGATTGACACTCTTTCGTTCTCATGCTAGCTAGCATAGATGATAGAGGTGCTGCAATGAGGATATGTGATGACATGTGTGACATGTGTGTGTGTCCAGGTGATGGAGTTTGGTTGTACCGACCCATTGCAGTGGTGTTGCAGTGTGGAGTGACTCACTGGCTGGAGACCGCCTCGGATGTTTCAACCTCTCTCTTAAAGGTTGCTCTACAGTACACTGCATGTGTCAACTACGAGATGGCAAAGGCACACACACACGTGCACTACCACACAGGATTGAAGAACAGCAAAGGCGTTTCTCCGAAACGCTACAGAGTACGTGCATGTATGTACAATGTCACCTGTAACATGGTCCGTCCCATCTGGCCAGCCGGAGACGTGTGGAGAAGTGTGCAGAGAAAGGGAAGTACAGTACTATACAATGTATGTACCAAATCACAGCGTCACATGGTCCGTCCATCTGGCAACAGGACGTGGGGCGTGGATGAGAATGAGGCAGCAAGAGTACTACACAGTCAACTCCACTCGAGAGATGGCATGACGACGAGAGCTACGAGATGATGTCTTCACCACACCCACTTCCCAACAGTATGGCCAAGGTCGGCTCTCTCTCATTCCACACTCTCACGTAGCCTGTCCTCGCTCCTCCTCTATTCGTCTATTGCTGCCAGCACGTAGCTATGTGCTCTGCTAGACGGACGGACGTACAAGCTCGACGTATGTTTAGACCGCAGTCTACGCGCATTGACAATCAGATTACAGAATTGCGTTATTTTGTCCTAGCACACTAGTGTCAGGTGTCGTGGCGTTTGCAGGTGTCTACAGCAAACTACCCGTACAAAATGGATATTCTCAAAAGCGTATCTGCGCCACAAACCGGCCGATTCGCGCTCGGTATATGTAAGACGTAGAAGGCACGACTGCCAAAGTAGCTCTTTTATTTAAAATGCGTAGTGCCACCTGCAGAGTCTGTGGACAGTCTCCGGAGCTCGCGAAGTCAGAAATCACGTCAATAGTCCACGAAAAAAGCGTCGGCTTCTTCAGCTCTGGCGATACACAACACACATGGGCCGCATTGCCGTGCGTTGCTACCCTTTCAAACGCGACACCACCAAGAGGGCGTTTATGATGACGTAAACGATTTTTGATGGGGGCGGGGGCTGTCTCTCTGGAGTCTCCACGTAAAAAAGCGTCTTGTTCCATCCGAAGGTAAGGAATGAGGAATGAGAGCAGCGTTGCTAGCTGTTGCACCCATTTGAACGCGCAAACACAATCAGATACTCGGTCTAAACGGTTAGACGCGGAGCTCGGTTGTCTACGCTACATTGCAATCCTCGGGGATGTGTGGTCGCGCCTTCGCTGCGCTCGGGACGCCAACATGGTTCCACGCTCGGGTGCAATGTAGCGTATCGACACCTCCGCTTCCGCGTCTAACCTATATATAGTACAGCATAATGGGCAGTCGTGAATGGAGATGACGCTTTGCGTTCGCTAGTAGCTAGAGTCTGAGGTGCTTCATGAGTGATGTGTGACATGCGTGTGTGTCGTGAGGGCGTTGTACCGACCGTGCAGTGGTGATGTGCAGTGTGGAGCTGACTCACTGCTGAGAGACCGCCTCGTCGGATGTTTCACACTCTCTCTTAAAGTGCTCGTACAGTACATGCATGTGCACGACGAGAGGCAAAGGCACCAACAAAATACACGTCAACTACACCCAGGATTGAGACAGCAATGTGCAAAAGCATGCTTCTCCGAACTCTACTGAATCACAGAATCACACATTACATACATACACACATACATATATGTCTCTGTCCCTCTACTGAATTACATACATATGTCTTTCTCTATTTCACAGTAATCTGTCTCCCCTCTCTCCACAGGTCATGCTGAGTGTGTGGACTTCATCCGTCGCTACAACCTCCCTCTCCTGCTCCTCGGAGGAGGCGGCTACACCATCAGGAACGTGCCCGCTGCTGGACCTACGAGACTGCCGTCGCTCTCAACTGTGACATCGCCAATGGTACTCTCATTCAGTACACGTCTAAAAGCAGTACCTACCCTCTGCGCTTGGTACACATGCTCTATGCTAATGGTTTTGGCTGCAGGGTTTATTACAACTGCTTTGTTTTTAACCCTTAGCAAACCACGGACGTATGTGTATGCCCTGAGCCTCCATAAGTCAATAAGAATTTATATATGGCTATAATACTAGGCGTTAATGTTATATACATCAATTTCTGCTAAGGAGATACCCATGGCATCCAAAGGGTGGTGTGTCCATCACATTGTGATCACACATTTTCCTACTACAGTGTGTATGTACATACTGTATGTGTCTCTCTCCCCACTCTTATTTATTCCTCTCCCCTCTCTTATCTCTTTATTGCCTTCTTGCTTCTATCTCTCCTTCCCCTCTCCCCTCTGCACCAGACTTCCCTACAACGACTAATTCGAGTACTATGGACCGGACTTCAACTCCACATCAGTCCACCAACATGACCAATCAGAACACACCTGAATACCTCAACAAGATCAAGTACGTTGTATGTCTGTGGACTGAAGATAGCGCTAAACAATATACCATTTGAACTTTAGCCCTTAAATATTGCCACATTCCCTAACTAACTAACTACATGTTTTTTTAACTAACCAACTACATGCAATGTACGTTTTTTCTGAGTTACATATTCTATGACGTCTCTCTCTAGGCTGACTGTTTTTGAGAACCTGAGACTTATTCCTCATGCTCCCAGTGTCCCCATGCAATGTACGTATGCCATTACATCATTATTACATCATCTATTACGTATTTCCAACATCTATCTTATTCCTCATGCTCCCAGTGTCCCCATGCAATGTTGTATGTTACTGTTGTGTACATGTATGTGGTAAAACAGTTCACTATTTCACTACTGTACATGTTTGAGACTGTGTACTGTACTCATACAGCCATCCCAGAGGACATGATCCAGGACCCAGAACCAACTGAGGATGATCCTGACGAGAGGATTCCACGTGAGAACCAATCTCTCTTAGCATACAATCTCAACAACAACTTCGATATTTGTTTTACGCATATTTAGAATCACGTAGACCATTACAATAAGTATAGGTTAGATGCTGAGCCGCGGGAACTACGCGATTTACCGACGTCTAACCGGTTTAGATCCATTCGGGACGCCGACAGCTCAGGGCTCCCCGGCTCACTAAATCACGTAGTTTCCCAAGGTGACGTGTCTAACCGGCTTAGACTGACAGCGCGAAAGTCCGTCTGGCTGCGTCCGTTGTAGCGTTGTGCCTCGGGATCGCGCGGCCGGACGTTTGTACGCGTTTTTCTGTACGCTTCTCTATAGTACCACCATGCGAGCGACACGACCTGCATCGCGCGTGCGAAAGGCATGCCACACCGGATTAACCATCCGACGGATGAGATTAGAAAGAGGCATACACAGCTCAAGGCGGCATTCGGGACGGTGGTGGGACAAAGAATTGCTGCACCTCTGACTGAATGCTCTCTCGATCTGCTGGGTGCTCCGCACCGTTAGCGTTGTCATTGCTTTCGGCGCCTAAATGCCGCCGCGCGCTTAGGGCGCGCGCGCGCATGCGCGCATACATCCTGTGTGTCGCGCGCGCGCCTATCATAGGCCGGCCGGTTGTAATTGTACGTGCGTGCACCGGCGGCGCGCGCGAGTCGTGCGAGCCATGCCAGCTAGTTCCTGCCGTTAACTACGTTTAACTGCGTTAAACTTCATTTAACTCTATACACTAATACATAGTATATCAGTGCTTTTGAACTTACCGCTGTGCTGGTCACAGGCTGGCAATTACTTACCCTTATACTGGCAGGATCCCGGCCGGCGCCGGTCGTGGCACGATAGGACATGGGGGTATATATTGCCCACGTGACTGGGTGGCCATGACATCATGCCTATGCCGTGGTTGCCATGGAAACGCCACCCAGCTCACGTGATTTCCATTACCTCCCTTTCCCTGTGGTTTTGGGAGGAGCTATTGCCAAGCCCCTCCCACAACTCCTTGTGGGAGGGGCGCGGTAACCACCCAAGGTTGTAGGTAGTATTATACTCCCCCAAAACCAATTATTCTTATTAGTGCACATAGGTACAAGTGAAGTGAGGGACAAACACTATGACAGTCCGTTCGGTCCGGCAGCAGGAGACGGTACTGTTGTGGCGAGTCGCCGTGAAATGGCTGCCAGTTGATCTCGTGGCGTACGAATATACTGCAGGAAGGCGGCACTTTGCCAGCGGCCCAGGGCCTGAATCATGGAATCCTCCACTCCTGCTATGGCTGCTGAGGTGGCCGCCCCAATCCTGAAGCTGTGACCGGCGTAATCACCCTGGGGGAGACCGATGGAAGAGAGGATTCCCCTGAGTTTGCCAATGAACCAGCCCTTGGTGGTTGGGGTGCCATCTTTCATCCGGAAGAACGCTCCGGGATGATCTTGACGGAGTTTGATGTAGTCCAGGATGGCCATGACCGGGCAGAGTGGTGTATCCGTGTGGCCCACGACGATGTCTACCCCCTTTCCGAACTGATCGCATTTGGAGCGTCGAAGATGGAGTTTAACCATGGACGGTGATGTCCTGCTATCCACCGCAACATCTCCCCAGGCTAGGCTAATAGCCGGGTTGAAATGGGCCGGTGACTCCACCAGTAACTCTCCCAAGCGAAAAAAGCCGAAAAATGCTGTGGCAGCAATGGCCCATACGAGGACGCTCTCTGGTCCTGGTTGCTGGGACAGTGTATTGTGGATCCGGGCAAGGATTTGGATGGTTATGGGCAACCTCGTCCTTGGTGCAACGCCCCGATTCAAACGCGCCCGGCCGATGCCTGCGAGAACCCTCTTCAGAATCGGAAGAGATGACTGGTCCCGTGGGTCTGGGAGACCAAGGGATAGCTGCAGGTTCTGCACGGCTGCCAGGTAGGACTTGGCTGTCTGTGGGGTCAGGCCCTCGTCCGCAAGAAAGGCGGCAAAACAACAGAGAGTGTGTTCGGTAATGGGGAATGGGGAGGGGAGGTGAAATTTTGTGCAGAAATTGTAGAACCGCTTGGAGGCGGCGGCATACGTCTTTCGTGTGGAAGGGGCTAGACCTTGTTCAAAATACCTCTGAACCGATCCCGCCATTGCGGATAACCCCAATCCGCCATCGGATCCAGAAGGAGGTCGACGAGAACCTGCGGCACAGGTGTTGGCCGAGGGGATGCTTGAGGCACCTTTGAGAGAAAAGAAACAACGCGGTCACGGGACAGATCGTCCGCCAGATGGTTTGCACGGGTGTCTATGTAACAGGGATCGAGGTGGAACTGGTTGAAGGCCTCGATAAAAACCAGGGCCCGCAGCAAATGCATGATACCCTTATGTTTGCTTGTTCGGGAGCGAAGGCAGGCGACTATCGCCTGATTGTCGCAATGGCATACCACTTGGTGGTTACGCCATGACCGGCCCCAGAGGACACCTGCGAGCAAGATCGGCAGGAGCTCCTTTACCGTGATGGGCAGATCTAGGGCGTTGACGTCCCATGGAACCTGAAACCAATTCTCTCCCGACCATGCGCCACAGCCCCAGTGGCCCGAGGCGTCTGATGTTACTTGGTACACCGGTAGCTGCTGGGGGGTCGGAAGGAACGAGGTGCCATTCCAGAGGGAGACAAAACACTGCCACCAGGCCAAGTCGGCCCGGAACCCTGTATTGAGACGGATCGGCGTGCGTCCCCCGCATCTGTTTCGGCTAGTTCCGTAGTGGAGGAGGTCGAGCATCCGCCGAAGGAAAGACCGGCCTGCTCGCACTACCTTGCAAGCATGATTCAGCAGGCCTACCAGGGATTCTAACTCCCTGCGGGTACACGCTCTCTTATCGCCCCATTCCAGTAGTGTTGACTGGAGTCGCCGTAACTTCTCATCGGGGAGCCGAAGTTCACCTGCAACGGTGTCTATTTCTATCCCGAGAAAGACCAAGCATGTGGTCGGACCCTCAGTTTTGTGGGCACCAATAGGTACCCCCAAACGGCCTCATTCTCGTTGCAGCGTAGTGAGGTCCTGCTGACACTGAGGAGACTGAGGAGGAGCCACCATGATGAAATCGTCCAAGTAGTGGTAAATCTGACGGATGCCACTCCGCTGCAGGTGCCAATGCAGAACGTCGGCTACTGCATTGAATATCTTTGGGGCGGAGCGGAGGCCGAAAGGGAGCATCGGGTCTACAAAGATGTGGTCTCGCCACCGAACTGCCTGGAGTGGTCGGTCATCAGGGTGCACGGGGATGAGACGGTAAGCTGACTCTATGTCGACCTTCGCCAGCAGGGCCCCTGGACCAAGACCGACGGCTACTTCGGCGACATGATCGACAGTGGTGTAGGAGAGGGAGCAGATTTTCGAATCAATGCCATCGTTCACGCTTCCCGCTGGTGGGAAGGATAAGTCCGTGATTAGGCGCCACTTCCCAGAGTGGCCTTTGGGGATAACTCCAAACCGGTTGATGTGGAGTTCTGGTACCGAAAATGTCGAAGGGAAGGGGCCTAGCATGCGGCCCATGTCGAGCTCCTTTCGCAGGTACTCGTCAATGACCTCTGGGTGGAGCTGGGCCGATGCCATGTTCGCCGATGCCGAGTGGAGTCGACTAGCACGGTTGAACCCAATCCGGAAGCCATCGCTTAGGCCTCGTAAGATGTACCGGGTGAACGCCCTGTCTGGATGAGATCGTAAGGCTTCTTCCCATGCGGGGAGCACGAGTGGGGTAGACGCAGAGTCCAGGGCTTGTAGCAGCCGGGATACTGGAGGACGGCAGGCATCCAGACATATCAGGTCCGCCGTATAGGGGTACAGCAACTCCCACCCTGTCAGAATAGGGGGTTGGGAAGCATTTTTAGTTGGCCAGATGGCCGTCACACCCATAGGGTGGAGAGCTACACTACCCCCTCCCAACAAACCTCCCTCCCAACTAGCTACCTGGAACCCTACCCTTATGCCCTTGTAACCAAATTCCGATAAAGGGAGACACAACCCAGAGCTGTATACCCTGCATGTGCCTGCCGCCCAACCTGGTCGCAACAGATTATTATCGCGATCGCGAGACCATGGTGATAATGACATAGATCCATGGGAAGGGACAGGGATAGATAAGAGGGTACATGAAGGACAGTGAGCTGGCCGAGGCCTGTGATTTATTATATATATATGCGGTTATATGTCCCTGCGGGGTCCTGAGCTACACAGGTCTCTGTGCGGATGGGGGGACGCGACAACAAAGCTCCCCACTGCCGGTTTGGGAGGTGGGCGACTCAATAGTGCCGTCCTGGTGCTGGGGGACCAGGTAGACGCCCCTGCTGGCGGGGACGGGCGAGGGGAGAACGCGGTCTTGCACTGCCCCCTTGATGGCCACCCCGTGTACAGTGCAACCGAGGGTGGGGGCCACCGCAATCCGCGCACCGGTGTGCATACCGGCACATGGATATTGACTGTTTGCATCTGCCGTCGTTAAAACGGCGGCAGCATTCGGCTGACTGGGCTCCTCGTCCTGACCCTTGGTGATTGGGGGACTGAGACGGCTGCAGGGATGTATCCCCAAGCCACCCAAACCACGGGCGGTTGGGGTTCCTGGGACAATACTGTGCCAGGTGGTCCTCCTGGAGGCAGAAGGAGCAACGGGGGACGGCTCTGGCGTGGCCGGTGAAGGCCTCATTGTATAGGCGGGCATTGGGAACAGACCAGTCCAAATTTTTTAGTGCCAGTGCCTCCCTCCGATAGCATCGGTCATACGACACCCACCGCCGATCGTCAAAATTCCTCTCCGCCCGAACGATCGACGCCTGGTATGCGAAGAGCTCTGGAGCCTTCTCCGGGAAACGCGATGCGATGAGGGCAGCCATCACCGAGAATTTTTCGATCCAGACCGAGATGTTCTGGATTGGCGGGCGAGCTGGGAGGGGGGGTTGTCCTGGGGTGTGGGGCGGGAGGTCATCGAGTGAGATGTCCGACATCTCGACGAACTCCAGACCCAGTATTCTCTTCGCTACCTTCGTTGGAAGGACTGCGGCAGGGTTGTACGGCCCCCTGCAGGACAAACTGGTAAGATGAGGGAGCCCCGAGCCAGCGGACGGGGCCATCCCTATCCGTACTGTGCCTGGCCGGGCGGCGGCGGCCGCTGCTGCCAGTAGATTGAGGCCGGAGCCACGCGATGGGGAAAATGTCGGCATTGTCTCCGGCAGAGCTGCTCCTGCATGGCATAAGTGAGTCACTGCGGTGAAGACTGCCCAATGTTATGGCAAGCCCTTGCGGGGCGTACAATTTGGAGAAGAGAGGGAGAACCGGACTAGCTATCTAATCCCCGCGGCCCCTGCAAGGGAATGCTCTCGACGGGGCCACGGGGGAACAATAACGCGAGTGAAACCCGTGCGGGGCGGAAAGGCACAACCCGGACGGGGCTGGTTTGGCGGACGGAGCGTGCACCGCAAGACCAGGTTGGGCGTGCAGCAAACTGGGCATTCTACCATGCATACTAACTTCCTAACCTGAGGTAACATACCTGAGGGGCCAGCGACGGGCGCTAGCCCGTCGGGCCTGGTGGACGGTGGATGTTCGGCCGCGTCGGTTGCCGTTGGTGAGTCGCGCAGGACTTCTGCGGGCTCGTCTGTGGAGGCAGGCGGCGGCAGTGCCAGACCGCAGGTCCGCAGATACTCTATTTGACCGGGAGTGAATGGGGACGCCATCTGTGACTGCGACAAGAATTGCTTGCACCTCTGAACTGAATGCTCTCTCGACGATTCCACGTGAGAACCAATCTCTCTCTCTTGGCATGTCTCTACAACTTGGTAACGAGGTAGAAAGGCAAGGCAAGGCAAACTAGTCCAATACACCCAGGAGAGCTCTTTCCTAAAGATGAGCTGCCCCAGGACACTTAGCATATGTACACATATACATGTCCTCATGCTACATGATGCAACCATTTACTGTGCCTCGTTAATGAACTTGTAGAACTATTTGCGACACATTTTGGCAACAAATATGCCCCCCCCCCCTGCAGAGCATATCCAGGACAAGATGATAGCCAGAGAAGAGGATCTCTCTGACAGCGAGGACGAGGGAGACGGCCGACGCAACGAGAGTGTAGGTCACCACGACAACAAACGATTGCGTCTGGCCGACGAGGGGGGAGACAATAAGGCCCCTGACATGAGCAAAATAACAACAGGTCAGAGTTGTAGCAGGGAAACTGTGGACTCTTTTAAAAGGATCATCCTCAGGGTCGGGATCATCCTCAGTTGGTTCTGGTCCTCCACTGCATGCATTCTTACTCTACAGTCCATTGTTTTGTTCCTTCTTTATATTGGTTTTATTGTGTTCGAGCACAGCAATGACGCTACTAGTAGATTTAATATACAAGTAAATTAAAATCCTGTGAATTTAGCATAATTATACAGCCCCATACATCTATGATGCTAGATACCATGCCCATCCCTATATACTAGTACTTAGTGATGTATGTAGTTTCCATGGACAGAGCTATGGCGCGCGTGCACGCAGTTCTAATTCGGGTGAACTGAAAATGGCGAATGAGCCTCCCCTCCTTCCACCATTTCTTCCCTGCTATAACTGTCACTGCAGGTGGAGGGAGCATCCAGAGTCCCGTACCCCCGGAGCCATCTCCCATCACCCCCAGTCCTCTGGTCACACCACACAGCCAGGAGAGCAAGGCTGAGACTGCCCAGGAGAAGACTGGTGAGACTCAGTTGTATGTATGTGTCTCAACAACTTGGTAACGAGGTAGAAAGGAGAGGAAAGACAAACAAGTCAACTACAACTAGTATGTACATACATCACTGCACCCGTCCATACCAATCCTTACTCACCTCAATTTTGGTGTCACTTAACTCATTAAGAGTGTCAATTGTTTTGCATTTTTTGTAGGCACACGAATTGAAGTAGAGACAAACCAACTACTCTTAATGGTTTAACTATAGTTGGACTATGGAATAGTATACTCTGTCTTGCTTTAACAATCCTTACTCGCCTCAATTTTGGTGTTGCTTTAGTGCATCTTTTGTAGGAACAGGAAAAGAAGTAGAGACTAACTAACTACCCTTTATTTTTCTATAGTGGGAGTATGGAATAGTATACTCTATCTCTCCCTATCTTGCTTACTCTCATCGATTTTGGTGTTGCTTTACTCAATTATTTTGCTATAGTTGGACTACGGAATAGTGTATATAGTCTAAAGTGTAATTTAACCTCTTAGAAAAGGGCAACTTCTTTATGGCAAAAGTGGAGGTGTCATTATATTTTTAGCAGCTACTCTACTGTATGTGTATATAGTTTTCTCTTCTCTCCTCTGTTCCTGCAGCCAAGTCAGCCAGCGGACCCAGAGGCTGCAGACTCCAGTGAGGCCAAACCTGAGAAAGAGTCCTGCCACGATGGGAGAGAACGGTGGAAGAGCGAGACTGAGGGGAGAGCATGACAGGGTGTGAAGGAGCGTGGGGATGGGAAGGAAGGAAGAAGCGAGTGAGAGGAGAGAGGGCCAAACCAATGAGTGAAACTGGGAGCAGGCTCAGAGGTACAACAGTGCCACAATCATGAAAATGTGCTTTTTATCTTAGTGGGCGAATGTTAAGACATTTTTCCTGTTTACAGTGCAATAGCACAATGATCAATGTTAGCACTAGGACACATTCTGTGTAGTTGGCATGTGAGAACTAACCTCTGCCCTTCTCAGAAAAAGTTGTATGTACACTTTTCAATCTGGATCTGGAATAGCTGTAGATGATATTTTCTGTGTTGTATTCCAGTCCCCAGCCAGAAGTGACTCAGCCCAGCAACAAAGCCACACACCACCTCGTCAGAGGAGCCACGTGGAACACTGCACACTGTGTCTCGTGCTATGTGTTTTCAGACTCTCTCACTTCACATAGTGTCTGACTCTGTACAGCCTTATTCTGTCTTACACCCTACATACAAATCTGACTTTGATATAATAATCTTTGGACAACACTTATTCATGGTAGCTAATTGCATGCTGGTTTGTTGAAGTTGCCTATCCTTTCTGTGTATAATTATATTATTTTCCTGAGACGTGCTGTTATTAACCCTGCATGCGCAGCGAAGGTTACGGTAGTGCCCGTTATAAATTTACTTGGCTAGTATACATTATAATAAGTTGGTGGTCACAGCAACCGCAGCCTCCTCCGCTGGTGGGATTCAGCAGAGGAAGTCTCTATGGCAACCAGGAGAGGGGACGCTATTTGTCGGACTATTCCTTTCTCACTTTTTATGTAAAAATTAATCTACAACACTAGTGATAAAAATGATGAACTACAAGTTGTCAAAAGTCTTGTGAACAATTACAATACCTCTGATCCGTCGATAGACTATGGGGCGCCGTCTGTCTGCACATAGCTGTTTTTTGTTATCCCGCGCGTCATCCGTGCCGGTTCCTTCTGGATTATACATACCCCGGACTGGATATACCATATCCCGCACTGGATATAATTATATAAATCCTGCACTGGATATAGCATATCCCGTTCCGGATATATAAATCCGCACTGGATATAGCATATCCCGCTCCGGATATATAAATCACGAACTGGATATATATCCAGTGCGGGAATTATATCCGGCGCGGATTTTACAAATCACGCCCGGGATAACAAAAAACAGCTATTTGCGCAATTTGAGACAGAGGGCGCCCCATAATAGAGTCTATTAGTCTGGTGTCCCGCCCGGTTTCCGCGAATTTTCCAATTAGCGCAGCTCGGACAAGCCCCTCCTCACTTCCCTCTCGAGATGTCGGTGGCAACTGACGCCTCTGACTGGATCGTCACTCCTGCTCTACTCAATGGAAATAAGTGTGGAAAGAGAGCAGTGTTTTCAAGTGATAACTCCATCGTCCAGCGGCGAGATCCTGAGAACTGGGGTGATTGTGTCTGTTACACAGTCCATCCCCTGCCTCCAGGGCAGGTGTGGCAGACCACCGTCCTCGAGACTACCACTGGGTGGGTTTTGGACTGGTGAGTGGATGTGTACCAAGTCTCCTATATACAAAGACCAGTAAACACAGCTCCACTATGACAGCTACAGTTTGTAACATATTGTGTTGTGTATGCAGGATCCTCATCTAATATGAGTGATCATGTCTTTTGAGCTCATGTTCAATTTTTGTTGTAAGTATTAATGCGTAAAGTGCCTGACTTGACGAATGCATTTTCAGCAAAATTGTTACATTACTGTATGTATAGTACCGAAATCTGTTTAGTGTATTGTGGCCAATTCAGAAGACTAGGTATATAGGCTTTACCTTGCTTACCAATTATGAACATGACAGCCTTGTGGGACAATATGTCATCCTCTCCTTCACTCTATTGTTTGGTAGAGGAGAGGTCCTTGGGAATGAGCTACCCACCACCCAGTTCTCTAGGCTGGGCATCTGGTGTCCCACTCTCGTGTACAACATGTCGTGTAGTGTATAATTGTACATACTTTTTGTTGTGTGGTGTAATTAACGGCCCTTAGTAAAATTAATGTGAGTTTCTACGAATATTTTAAAAAACAAGTTCTCACATGTGAGTGCGTACTAAGGTTGTTTCTGCAGTAGAGCAAATGTACAAGTGTCTTTGTTGTGCATGTCTCTCTCATCATTGGCAGAGCCTGGAATGAGACTTAGTGTTAGTTGTCACTCCAGACACACTCCTAGATCTTCCATGGTCACCAGTCTATCTGACTGCACTGTACCTCTAGAAGAGAGAGGGAGCAACTGTTTGTGATCACTGCACACACAGACACACACTCCATGCAGCCAGTACTTTGCCATACATACTACATACAGCCTACAAAGTCCTAATGGTCTTCTCCATGTCTAGAATTAATTAAGGTGACAAGATAGGATTGTGTCTACTACTGTTTAGCACTGTCTCTTTATCCTGTGTATTTGGTATGTAACAGTGGTGTGTCAACTGATATTCATTACAGTCACATGTCACACTAGGATTCCTTATTCACATCAAATGGAATGAAACTATGTGTAGTTGGTGTTGTTAGTACCTTGCGACGCTCGTGCTTTTTACATACTTATATATGATACTATGCATTCACACATGTCTCTTTCTCAATAGTAACTACCCTAACGTCAATGTTATTAAGTCTCTCCATTAATATGCTGGTTCTCTCTCTGCATATTGCAGAGTTGACTAATTAATTTTTCCTAGTCAGTGACAGTACTATTTGTACATGATATGTTATGTGATTACATATTTCTCAGCATTTGGAGTGACTGGCCACTCTACCTGATGTGGTGCCTCTTTACCTACCATGACTAGTCTGGACCCCATGAGTGGAACTATGGGGCACATCATTATGGCACAAGGGAGGGAGCTGTCTTCAGGTCTACTGATCTCACGTATCTCAAACCTCATCAAAGAGTCGGACTTCTTTCTCACTGCTAGTGTGATCTCCATGTCTTCATCGATAGACGCCACGTGAAAAGGTAGCATAACGTGCTCGGGGAGTGTCAGCATGCTCACAATGTGTACATAATTATGTATACCATTCCTTATATACCATCCCTATCTCGTCTCTCTTCCTTTTCCACTATATGTAAAGGTAGCATCTGGTCTGCCAGTAAACAACATCTGTGGGAGCAGTGGATGTGTTGGCACTGTACCAAGATCAAATCTGAGCTACTGTGGTGAGTTTAGGATGGCATAGCATTCATGTATCTGTATGCATGTATTTTTAATGCATAATTTATGACAGTATAAATCAAGTACTACTTGACATGTACATTCATAGATGTTGTAAAAATTTTTCCGTTTATACGCATACTAGGACATGTAGGTGTTGTGTGCAGCTGTAATTTTGTCTCCTAGGAAACAGTATGTGAGATTCTTGTGCATGTATGCATGGTCTGTATGTATATACACTGTTGCTATATGCTGTATACTGGGACTGGTACTAGTAAGAGATTTGTACAGCATGATAAATAGTAGCGAACATGCTATCTAGTACATTTTAGATGGAGAAGGAGTTCCATCTGCATGACCATCTCGAATGGTCCAATGTCTGCTATCATTTGTTATTACAACGTATACTTATACACACTATGTGTGTATGTGTAGAGTGTGTGTGTGTGGAGCATAGTGCCTGGGCAGGCACTCAGGCACTGCGATCTTCTCAAAGCGCAACGGCCGTATGTGGTATCAGTGACTCACGTTTGCATGCACAGACGACGTACTGCAGAACAGCAGTTGTCTGTTGTCTTTGTGCCATGATGCATCTCCCCATGTTGGATGTTTGCTGTTTGTAGAATTACGAACGCACTGACCATGACTGATTGCCACTGGACTACCTGCTCTGCTCAATGTAGCAGCTTCGCCTGTGTGTTGCGTGCTCCAACTTTACACTGCAGCTCTATGGTCTTCTGTGCCCATCTTGCACAGTGCGTTTATTACACAAACACATGTCTATGTGCTGCGAGTTAGTCAGTATGTGTTTGCATGCGCAGCGTGTACAGTCGTTGGCGTCTGTGTGGTACATAGCGTGTACATCATGACTGCTGTTTGTACTATTAACCACTATCCGACATGTACACATGGGTATACATCAACGTCTATTCGTATGCCAGGATCATCTAGTCATAGTATGTGCACCATAGATGTTATTATGTATCAGCAGCTGTCAGATAGTGACACATGGCAGGACATCTCGGTATGTATTTCACAGTATGTGCACTGTAGTCGTAGTACCAGTATGTGGCGTGTGTTGATAGATAAGAAAACAGACCATCAATTATGACATTCTTTGCATACTTAAAGTAAATTTTGGAGTAGTTTATACTAGGACATGTAGGTGTTGTGTGCAGCTGTAATTGTCTCCTAGGAAACAGGATCCTGAGAGTCTTGTGCATGTATGCATAGTCTGTATGTAACTGTGTTTTTGGCTATACTGTATACTGGGATTGGTACAAAAGGATTTGTACAGCATGATAACATGTAGGGAAACATGCATTCTAGTACATTTTTAGAAGGGAAGGTCAGGCAAAAGAATTTCCACTGCTGCATCTCATGGTCCAATGTCTGCTACTTTTGTTGGACTGTTTTAGACGTGTTTATCCATAAGCATCGACTCATACAGTTACCACCCAGAGCTTTAGTGCAGGAGAAATGCACTGATAGTTAATCACGTGATCCATGTGGTCCTATTATTTGTGACCGAAGCAAGCCTACCTATAGTCCTCAGAATGCGGGATATCCTGCGTGTGTGCGGGGACGGACACTGCACATACAGTAAGGTTGTATTTACGTGATTCTAAATACATGCGTTAAAAAAAACTGCTCGAGCTCGCTAGCCAAAAATGTGTGGCTTTCGTGTCTTCATGTTGGTATTAGCAGTTGTAAGTTGATCCTCTTCATCAATTACTACATTCTTAACACATTATAAGTCAAAAGCTATGCAACTTGGTGAAAAATTATGTGA